GTGCTGCATTCTTCTGCCCGCCACTTGTATCTGAAACATTTTCCTACTTGGCAGAACTACCTTGGCTCCCTCCAAAGAAACTGTTGAGGAGGCTGGAATGTGTGTGAAGGAGTAGAAGGAGCTGTACACAGATGAAAGCACGGTGAGGCAATCCTGGCTTCTGTAACAACAACTCCAGCTTTCTGCCATGTGTATACAGGATTCCATTGAACACTAATCTGAGATCATCTGTCAAAAGATCTGAACATTTTAAATGCTCAAAAGTTTTGTGGAGAGGTTGCACTTCAGGGTTTTGATTTTATCAGGGATGGCTACGTGGGGAATGAATGGCATGGGAAAGGCAAGGTGTATGCGGCTAACCTGGAGGATAAGCATAAAGCAGAAAAGCACAAGCCATCTGTGCTGCAAAGGGATCTTTCAAAAGAGGAATGAAGCTGTGCTTAGGCAGATTTGCTTCTTTCCTTCAGAACTGGGATCTTGGGTCAATCTCTGGTCCTCCTGAAAGGGCCAGTGGCTCTTTCTGATTCATGATGAACTCTGATTCTGTGCTTTTTATTTTAAGACACCCAGATCTCAATCGCTTTGGGATTCTAGTAATCCTATACCTCTGTTTCCATTAAGAGATTTCTGATATCACATGTAATCAAATGAGATTTAGATAATTTTCAGGCCATTCCTTCAAAATCCTCTCTCCTTATCCAGTTTCTCCAGCACTTGTTCAGTGACACCTTCCTCTTTCCTGTCTCTCATGTGATCTGCCTGTCTTTGGAAATAGAAACTATCAGCAGCTTTGGGATCACAGTGACTCTAAGCTGGCCACATGCACAGGGCCATTGTCTCACCTCTGAGCTGCCTCTCTTTTTGTGAAGTAGTAAACCTAAAGGAGGTGCGGTAAAAGTTCACAAAAAGCATGAAATAACAGTAGCATCTGCTTTGGCACACAGTAGGTGCTCAGCATTGCTAACTCATTTCTCTTCTTGCTTCTTCCTTTCATTTTTGTTCACTTTGGTTCCCAATATTTCTGTTTCTCTTGTCCCTGAAATAGTCTGAATGTTGCTCTTGATGAGCAAATTAGGAGAGAGGAAAAGTGAATGCCAATGAAGAAGCAGTGCCATCCATTTCTCTCATTAGAAAAGGAATCAGAAAGGAAAGAGGACAGCCGCTCTTGGGAGATGCACTGTGTCACTGGCACCGGGGCCCTACATTTAATTCTCTAGGCCTTACTTTCTCGCCCAAGGAAAACTACTGTTCTCTCAGTGGCATGCACAGACACAAGCCCAGGAAGATACTTAATGATTTTTGGCTTCCAGTAGAGCAGGAGTGCCCATTGCAAAGGCAATCCTCCTACCAATGGCATTACATGATAAAGTAATGCACTAAAATACTCAGGTCTTATGACAATAACAATCTATTTTCATAGAACAAGATATTAATGACATACTAATGATAAAATAGTGTTATCTATCTGCTTTAAATGTAGTGCTTTGAAAATACAAAATAGGGCCCAGTGTTATGGCTCAATGGTTAAATCCTCACCTTACAGGCACAGGGATCCCATATAGCCACTGGTTTAGGGTTCAGATGCCTACTGCTCCACTTCCCATCTAGCTCCCTGCTTGTGGCCTGGGTAAACAGTTGAGGATGGCCAAAAACCTTGGGATCCTGCATCCACATGGAAGACTCGGAGGAAAATCCTAGCTCCAGGCTTCATATTGGCTCAGCTCAGGCCATTGAAGCCATTTGGGGGGTGGGCCAGTGGATGCAAGATCTTTCTGTGTCTCCTCTCTCCGTAAATCTCATCTGTCTTTCCAATAAAAATAAATAAAATCTTAAAAAAAAAGAAAAGAAAAAAGAAAATCAAACTGGTAAAAATATGGTGTTCAGGAACATGGCTTTATGGATGATAATTGGACCATAAAATGTAACTTTAGGGATCCTATGTTTGACATAGGAAAGGCTGAATTCTTTTTAGTTTTAAATTTTTTACTTTTCTATTTTTCAAGATGATTACATGGTTAATCAGGGTGGGAAGGATCGAGGGTTAGGGAAAAGTGGGTGTAATCATTGTTTCCAAATTTGCTATTTCTTCTTGTTTCTGAGAGAAGGGGAGAGAAAAAGGGGGAAAACTAACCTGGCCTCCCGAATGTCCCAGTACCCAGGGATGGGGAACCATCACCAGATGCCCGATGTGGTGCATGATCCAAGGGGTCTGAACAAGCAAGGGGTCTGATCCAAGGGTTCTGAAATGCTGTTCATTTCACTGATCCAAGGATGAGGCAGCCCTTCCAATATCCATTGGCTGACATAGTCGACCTTCAGTCTCCATTCACCCAAATTTTTGCTGTCATTATTTGACTGTTCTGCTTCTTCTGCTACAGTACCAAATGGGCTGCCATATTCTCCATTTGCATCAGGGTCTGTGTCCGTTGTTCCTTCTTCCAAGATCAGAAGAGATCGGGCACGTTCAGGATGGTATGGCCATAGACCATTGTTCCTTCTTTTTCACCAAGAAGGACATATTCTTGCAAGCAGGCCCAAAGACCTGGGTCAGGCAACTCGAGTCCCACCAAATCCCCCATCCCAGGTGCTCACAAACCCAGCACCCACCATGCAGATAGGCCAAGAGACCCAAGCCAGGCAACCTGAGCCCCACTGGGTCCCCCGTCCCCAGGGCTCATGAACCCAGCACCCACCTCACAGGTGGGCACAGAGATCTGGACCAGGCAACCTGAGCCCTACTAGACTCCAAGCCCTTGCAGCTCACAACCCCAGCACCTACCTCATGGGCTGGCCCAAGGACCTGATAGGCTGAATTCCTGATACATTACCTTTTCTGAATCCCCTTATTAAAACACTGAATTAGTGTTTCAAAAGTTTAAGCTTTATTCTAGTTGGTTGGTTTTTTAATTTTTTTTTTGGTCAGGAAATAAAAATGCTTTTTTATTTTCTTACTTTAAAATCAATTCTTGGTCTGCATTGTCGGTTGGCCATGAAATGTTTCATGTTGTTGTGACCATTTACTTGTTTAAGAACACAGGCCTATGATTTAGTGTTTTCAACAATGTACATTAGGATTCTCAACAAATTCATTATTATGAAAACAGGGAGGCAGTGTAATCTTTTTTTGTAACCTAGGCATAATAGACTGTGATATTTCCTGAGGGGGGGGGAATCATTGCATTTGGTTTTTAAATGCAGTCAAGAAATCAATGAATAACAAAATTGGCATTGGGAATGGCCAGTCCTTCCTTAAGTGTTATTCACAGTTAAATGACTGCACATTATTTTCTGCTTTTTCCTTGCCTCAATTTGGTTTTCCAGAATACATCCAATGTTCCCAGATTCCATGCTCTTCATTCTTTCTTTGTACTCTGTGGTGCTATCTTCCTGGAAGAGTCATAACTGCCAACTGTCTGACTTAAACAAAATGTTTATGATCGGAATCTCTTCCAAAATGATGTGCACAGGGACTGATAACAGCGTTCCAATCAGATGGCAACTTCTCCTGACAGTATGAGCTTGCTTAATGGCATTCACTAGTGCTGAATGCTCTGTTATCCATGTGTATACTTCTGGCATACCAGGCACTAGATCTTTGAGCTCTCTTACCTTCTATAAAGGGTGCCGGGAAACAGAAACCCTTCTAATTAAATCCTAAATAAAATAGGAAGTATGCAACATTGCTTAGTGAAATATTTCTCTCCTTTTCTCCTATGATGCCAATCTGCAAATGAGCACTGTCCAGTCTGGTGTCATCATTAGAAAGGACTCACAGTTGCTGTGAGGGATTGTATTCTGGTGCTTCACTAACATGTTCCTTTGTATAATGTATGGGACGACTACACACAGGAGCCATTTCTCAAAGCCAGACCACAGAACATTTCCCTAGGGAAAGGTGTAAAAGCTGACCACCAATAGAAACCAAAGTAGCAAGAACTGAGGCCCTAACTGAAGTCCCATTGAACATTTTATAAAATTTTAAGTTTATTTGGTTTTTTTATATTGTTATTAACATTGTGTTATGTGATACAGTTATATAGGCACTGGGGATTCCCCCCACCCCTCCCACCCCCCATAGTGGATTCCTCCACCTTGCTGCCTGCAGATAAATGGCAGGAAAGGAGAAAGAGTGGATCAGAGATGTAGTGAGATCTTTTGCCTACTGCTACGTTCCTCAAACACTTGCAACAGCCCCAAGCCCAGAATTTGATAATGCATTCTCTTCACGTGAACAATATTAAAGAGGCAAAAATCCCAGTGACTCCCATATGTATACATTGCAATGGCCAAATTGAATTTTTACAGTTTCTTATGCTCAGCTTGGCTCCCAGTTGGCCTGCAAAGCTTCCCCGAGGTGCGACCTGTTAGAACCCTTCCTTTTTTTTTTTTCCAAAAAGAATTATCCCACTGTCTCTTCGATCTAGCTTGCTAGCTAGCACCAGCCCAATCTAAAGTAACAGTGCTCGTCCAGCATTGCCTTTGTGTTTTGTTTTGTTTTCGAGGCACCTTTCACACATGTCCCCTTGTGTGACGTATTCGCCTTCACTTAGCTTCCTAATTGAACCTTGGTTGGTATGACATTCTCTTCACCTCTTCTGCAAGGATTCCTGGTAGTGTCCTCCATGCAACAGGCACTTGGTATGTGTTTTACTTCTCAGTGACTGAAAATTGGGGAAGCTGAAGAATTTCAAGGGAGTGGATGCTTAGTAAATAATACTGGTGCACTTTGCCTCCCAAGTCTTATCTGTAAGAGCCCTTCATTTCTCACTCTGTGAGGGTCAGGAATCTGTACTGTATGTATTCCTGGCCAAACGTCCGTTTCTCACTGGAAGAACTTCGGTTCGTTTCTCAGATACATATGCTGGCTTATTTGAATAGGTATTCTCCCTCCCCTCCCCCTCCTCCCCAACCTTTTATTTAAAGACTCTTAGCTCATATTTGTAGCTGGCGGCAGCTGTCTCAGGAAAAAACAAGCCTCCCCTAACTTCTATAGCCTGACAGATTTCCTGTGCCCAGGGCTGGTTTGGTCTCTTCTCACGGGTGCAGCCAGCGCCGGGTGCTCGCGCTCCCTCCCTCAGCTCCAGGCACTTGGAGCACTCGCACTTGCTCTCCGCGCCGTGTGGGGGATCCGCGCTACGGGAACGGCCTCTGTGGGACTCTGACTGGGAACGTTACCATTTTTTCTCCCGTCCGCGGATTGGCTCCCCGGGGTCACGTGGAATTGGAATCCTGAGTTGTGGCTTTTGGCACTCCTTTTTCTTTTTAAAAATCGCTTGGTCTGTTGAGTTCTCCTGGGCTTGGTTGCCTCTGGACTGAGACTGGAGACTGACGGCAACTGCCCCCGGGCAGGCTGAGGTGGCAGTAGACAATCTGCCGGGATGTTCACTCAGGTGCCCCGGACCCCAGCTTCAAGCTGCTACTATCTAAATTCCATGACACCTGAGGGCCAGGAGATGTACTTGCGATTTGATCAGACTGCAAGACGCTCTCCTTACAGGATGAGCCGGATTCTAGCACGTCAGCAGCTAGTGACTAAAATCCAACAAGGTGAGTTGCCGGCAGTGGAAGGGTGTTGGCGAATTCGGATTTCTCTTGGCTGGATTTCATGCTAACCTGGTTTTTGTCAATGATTGTTTTCATTTTACAGTTTCTGGATTTCGGTGCCTTACTGCACGTAACTTTTTTTTTTAAATGACATTAGACTGCCGATTGAGGCAGTGACAATGCTCAGCTGCCACACAGCTCAGCATGAAGTACACAGAGAACTTCCCGGGAGGCAGGGTCATAAATTCCTAAACTTACGTGTGCCTCCAGAAGGAGAAAAGTTTACGCAGTGTATATTTTAACAAGTAGTTTCCTCACCCTCTGTCCCATATGGAAGGAGAGCATTTGTTTGTTTAATGTGATAGAGGGTGGGGGACAGATGTCCACCCCACCCTGAGTATTTACAATGTCCTGACTGAGGAGGGGAGAGGCAGAATTCCAGTCTGAAGGCCACTGGGCTGACAACCTAGAAGCACATTCTCTTCCTGTTTGTACGTGTGTGTCACTAGTTGCCACTGATTTGTTGATGCTGTTTTTCTGGCACAGGATAAATATGTCTGAGCTCATCAACATAAACACCATTTGTGTGCACAGAAATTCTGGTTTCTTTGGGCAAGAGAATATTGATGGAGACTGGATGTTCTCTTTGGTCTTAAACCATATCATTTAAAAAAAAGACAGGGAGGAAGAAATCCAGCCTAGAATCCTGGAGATATTCCTAAAACTATGCTATAAATGTTTAAAAACACGCTTCTTATAGTGTAGGTCCATAGATAGAAAGATGAACATTCCTAAGAAGCCTGTGACTGATGCCCAGTTAACTAACACACACACACACACACACACACACACAGACACAGCTTCATACCCCTCCTGTACTAAAAAAAGAACTAAATTATTATCTTGGCAGTGCACAAGTTGACTAGGAATTTCTAGAGCCATTATAAAAGCGCAATTGCCACTTAAATCAAGGAATTGGAGGTTATAGTGAATTGCAGAGGGGAAGTTGAAGTTGGTAATCGCGAAAATCTTGTAATGTTTTAAAAAGGAACAATACGTATTCTAGTGAGCAGCGTTTGATGAGATTGTTTCCTTGGAAATTAGGATTTGTTTGTGAAGGTTCAGGAACTGGGCATGTGTGAAGGATACTGGTCCTACATACCGGCCTGATTTCAGGAAGGATGTTAGGTCATTCCATAAACTCTGTGCGCAGGTCTTGATTGAATAGAAACAAAAGTAATTATTTCCCTGTGAGTTGATTTAAAAATACATTAGGCAAAGACAAAAAAAAAAAAGCTCCATTTTGTTTTTAGAAATTTCTGACAATGGTGCTTTAGCAGTTGCCATCGTCTCTGTGGACACAGGGACTTGAAGATGTTGGGTAATCGCCTACAGCCTGTGGATGCTCCGCAGCATGTGCGTCAGGTACATGCTATGTGGGAAACACTGTGCAGATCCAGTCGGAATCACGTTACACATCTCCTCAGATGTATTTCCAAGCATTTGTTTCATTTAAAACTTTTTGTTTGGTAAGGGAGGTTATTTTCTGCAGATGATCTGAAGTAGTAAACGCATGTGCTAACATCAGAAGCCTCTGTCAGGTGCGAGAGTATTGTAAATCTGTGTATCGCTTTAGCTAATCAGACAGTTCGAGGACTCGTCATTGTGTACAGTGAAATGTTTGAGGCCAACGAATGCCTAACGATTAGAAGTGACAGTTGAGGTCTTAAGAAGCATGAATGAATGCCAGCAGTCCAACGATTCAGATCATTATTTGTGACTATCATCCAGTGATATAGTAAGACATTAGAAAAGCATATACGAAGCAATGTTACTGGGTTTATTGTCAGTGTACTGGTTCACTGTGTCAGTAGCATTTATGATAGTACCTTAGGCATGTCTCTGAGAGTACTCTAAAACTTATATTTACCCCCCCGCCCAAATTCTTAGTGCTAAGCTATATTATTATACCAACTTTAAAGATGAAGGCATGGAGGTATATAGAGTTCAAGTAGTTTACCCAGAGTCAAGTGGTAAGATCTGGCATTTGAATACAACTCTAGAACTGGTGCTCTATAATACACTAGACTGCATTTTAGTTTTTATGAGTACTAAGGACTGGAGCTATAACTCCAGTTAATTTATACAGCATGGCGAAAAGTTTTAAGCATGCTGTACCCTCTGGAGGAGGGTTTGGCTTGTGTGGCTTCATCAAAACTGGTCACTCAATATGAAATTTCCCATCAGGTTGTATTTCTCTAGAGGAAGCAAAGGACTATATATTTTGCTCCTTTTGAATAGTTAGGGCCCAATAGTGCAAGATGAAAGGATACCTTATTCACAGCCTTTAAGTATTAAATTTAAGTTTATCAAGTGCAAATTAAATTAATGGCTGTTATTTTTGTAGTTCATTCATTAGTATCTTGAAATGACAGCAGCATCAGTAAAATTGCTTGTATTACTCTGCTTTAGATCTTTCCAGGAAGATTTAGCATGGTATTAATATAATTTGGGGCATCATTATTTATAATCATAATTTCTCATGGCTGTTGGGAACAATGCAAATGAGTGAGTTGCTCCCCACTGACCTCATTATAGTGAGATAATCATTGAATGGCATGAACATGATTCAACAGCAGATACACTTGTGAGGAGAAAAACAAGGAGGAGAAATAAAGGAATCTTTGATGATGCATAGGATCAGAATTAGTTACTCAAACCCAGGATGAATCTAAACTTGCTCATCTTAGAGTGCACTCCAAAATATACATACATCATTTCTCCAGCCCTTTTTTTTTCAGTTCTGCAGTTGTAAGTCCAATTAAAAAGAGATGTTTCAAACAGAGGGTTATTTTGCAGAGTGAAAGTTGATCAGAAGTCATACTGCCCATAATCCCTACTCCACATTCTTGCTTGAATCAATAGGGAAATTGTTGTAGAGGAGGAGAAGAATGGAAATAATAATGGTCCTTTTTGCCCTCGCTGGTAAGTACTTGAGAGTGAAAAGGAGAAGGCCTAGAGGATGAAGAGCATGGTAGGATGGGGAAAGGATGATGAGCTATCTTTCCCCATTTCTTATTGCACTAGAATACATGAAACCGGTTCTCTTTACGTTAATAAAAAACAAATTTGCCATCTTACCCATTTTTCCGTGACCAGTTCAGTGCTATTAAATACACTTGTGATCTATAATATTGTGCAATCATCATCCATTCCCAGAATTCTTTCTTGCACAATTGAAATTCTGTAATCAGTACCTCTGCATTCTGTCCACATCCCAGCCATTGGAATTCACCCTTCTACTGTCTGTTTCTGTGATTTTGACTCCTCTATGTACCATATGTAGGTAGAATCTGTGTGTGTGTGTGTGTGTGTGTGTGTGTGTGTGTGTGTGTGTGTGTGTATGACTGGCATAATGTTCTCAAGATTAGACCATGTGGTAAAAAATGTCAAAATGTTCTTTTCCTGGGCTGAATAATATTCCATTGTGTGTTTATAATGTCTATACTGATAGTGTCTGCGTTTTGGAAAACAGTCATCCTAATGGCTATGAGATGTGGAGAATTGAACTTCTTTGTCATTATTTGATGGCTGTGATTACTTTGGTACAGGTGCACCATATTTAAAGTCAAGGCTATTTGGAAAATCCAAATCCAGGAGAACGTAGTTACTTGTTTTGTAAAATATTATTTAATTTTATTTTAAATGCTAAGAAAACAATATCATATAGCTAAGATTGCAGTGAAATCAAGTAAATGGAGACAGAGATCCAGGCTTTGCTTAGATACCCCCTTTGTTACAGAACTTCACATGGCCTCCTTTGCCTGATAGATGAATGCTATGGGTAGACAATGATTGTTTAGATTTATTATTGTTTTCCATTCTAGAATCCCCTCTGTACATAAGTCACTCAGTTACTCTTGAACAAAAGTGTCAAAAGCAGGGAAATGAAAACTCAACTTAATAGAATCTGAAAGGGAAACAGCAGTTTTGTTATGTGGATTAAGTAAATGGCTTATAATTTTTTTCTGAAGTTTATCATGGAAAAAAATGGTAAAGTAGAAATCTGGTTTTTGTTCTGTCTGTGCTATTAATTCATTATATGATCTGATCTGAAGTCACAACTTCTATGGACCTTCTTTATGTCTTGCTTGTGCTAAAGAATCTAGTTTAAATAATCTTTAAAATTTTCATCATCTCTAAAATTCCTAGAGTTTTCTAATGACAGCTATTGCATTGAGAGACAGTCCTTGTCTATATTGCCCTTACTATGCTATTCAGTGTTTATCCAGGCATCTGACACCTATGGGACACTCTCATTATCAATTTACTGGGAATGTTAGGGTGTCCAGCCTGGTGGACTATTTAAATATCAGCAAGACTATAATTATAAAGAAACTTTCTTGGGCCTCCAGGGCTCTTGGGACTCCTTCAAGTGGAGTTGTTAGGATGTCTGAACCATCACAAGGGTCACAGAAATGTGCATATGCCCCATCCTCACAGCAAGACTTATTTGCTTGATAGAAAATATAAAATGTTGAAAATTTCACCACTGTAAAGGCAACACAAAGTTGGACTTTCACTGTCAATGCCTGTATGAGATTATCTTTAATTAGATAGAGCACCTGAGCTGAACCTCACTTGTGTGGAATCCGCTGGCTTTTGTTTTTAATGTCCCAGCAAATGGAAGTGGGCATGAGTGATGGGTTTTTCCTTCACGACTTCCTCATGTAATATCTTGGGAATTTGCCCAGCCTAAGTGGTGAACAGTGCCTACCAGGGTTGAATGATACCCTCACCAACTGGGTAACATCAGCCTAAATTAGCCAGTCATTTGTTCTTTTGAAACTGCCCTTTCTCTATGTTTAGAAATTTTTAACCAATTGCTTTCAAAACTGGCAGGAAAACAAATGGAACACAGAAAAGAGGCTGTGAATGTATTCGTCATATGTTACTCACATTCTTTTCTATTTTTTTTATAAAAAGGAAGACATGTCATGAAT